TTTGTTGAGAAGCATATGTTTTAGCCATGTTGGGCTAAGAAATAAACAAATCTCTTGGGTCAGAGGCGATGTCTTTTATTAGACCGACTAAATAGCAGCAAAAAAGTTTTCTTTTTTCACAAGCTTTCAGTACAAACCCTCTTCTTTAGGCTGAGGAGAATTCAAAGGTTGCAAAAGTTCTCCTAGGTAGAAAAGAAACTTCAGTTTGCAAAGGAGAGGTAGAGGGTGGAAGTTTGTTCCCCTGGGTACCTCAGAGCCCTTTTATGAGAGAGTGCCCCTGTGATGTTGCAGATTAGGCAGGCTTCTTCCTTGGAGGTGTCCTATGTCAGACAGGGAGGTAAAAATGTCTTCTTCCTTGGTTAGCAATGAAGTTTACAGTTCCAAATGCCTAAATGTGATATCTTCCATGCTTCAGGGATATATGTTATAGCTGTGTTGGTCTCAGAAACAGAAAATAATAAAGCTCTTGGGTCAGAGGCAATATGTTTTATTACTTACTTATTTATTTTTATTTATTATTTATTAAGGGTACTTCTCCTCAGTACCCAAAAGCTTGCAAAGATTTTTTCCCAACTATTTTAGTTGGTCTAATAAAAGGTATCGGATTTAGCTAGAGAACCTTGTCTACCAACCAGGGATAGGCAAAGTATGGTCCATGGGCCGGATCTAGTCAGCGGGGAGTCCATTTCCCCGCTGCCCCTGCGCATGGCTTGGGCCCGTCTCCATGGTGACTCCAGCCCACCTACCTGGGAAAGCTCAGGCTGGGGTTGCCATGGAGACCAGGCTCAGCGGCGCTGGCAGTGAGCACAGCAGAGCAGGGCAGGGGGCTGCTCCGGAGCCGCTGGGAACCTGGGATGGGGGCAGCTTGCTCCGGAGCCAGGGCAGAGCCGAGATCTGTAGCCTGCACACTCCGGGCAGGGGTGGGCAAGCTGGGGATCATGGCTGTGCCCCAGCTCCAGACCAGGCTGTTACTGCTGGAGGAGCCCGGGCAGAGCCATGATCCCCTGTTTGCACGCCCGTGCCCGGAGCATGCAGGCTACAGATCTTGGCTCTGCCCTGGCTCTGGAGCAAGCTGCCCCCATCCCAGGTTCCCAGTGGCTCCGGAGCAGCCCCCTGCTTGCTGCCAGCACGGCTGAGGCTGGTCTCCATGGCAACCCCAGCCTGAGCTTTCCCGGGCAGGTGGGCTGAAGTCACCGTGGAGACTGGTTCAAGCCATACGGGCAGGGGCTGTTGGGAAACGGAGTCCAGCTGCCAGCTGGATCAGGCATTTTGCCCACCCCGCCTTAGACCAACACAGCTACAACCAACACTCCTCACAGCTCTGTATTTCCTTATATACACGTACAGTGTCACCTAGGCCTGAAAACGGAGCTGGGATTAGACTGAGATTATGGGGCAAAATCCTTTTCGGGCCACCCCAAACCACTCATCTCCACTGCCAGGAGCCCCTTCTGAAGAAGTGTGGGCAGACTGCTGCCTGACCTCAAGTTTGGTTTGGTCCCGTAATCCCAGCCTCATCTCAGTTCTATATTCAGGGTGATGGACTTTGATACCTGATACTGTTTCAAGGTGGTATGAGTAAATATGCATTTCTGATGAAATACTAACTCTCTAGTATGCCTGCTTTGTTACTAACATCCTTTCATTGTGTAAAGATGAGCTTTGAGAAAGGAACACTGAATAAGGAACTGGAAACTGGGAATAATTAACTGGGAATAAGGGCCCCACTTCAGCCTTGTTCTAGGTGCTGGAAGCTGAATGACAGGGAGCACCTCTCTGGCTACAGTGCTGCCTCCCACCCAGCCTGCACAGGCAGCCTTGGGTCAAGTCCCGCTGGGTTCTGTGCTGTTCCCACTGCTGTCATTGCAAAGCCGCTGGCCCTGGGTGCACTCAGCCCCTTGGAGGCGTATCGCTGCGTGACCAGTTCATTTAAAAAAAAAAAAAAAAGGAAGGCAGCCCTCACAGATTTCTAGCCCCCTAGTAGCAGAGCCAAGCTGGCACCCCTCAGTCCGCCCAGGCAGCTGAAAGTGCAGAAGGCAAGAAACTTGAGGGAGGAGGAGAGATATCAGGTGAATTTGGGGAGGGAGGGGGATATGAGGGGATCTCAGGGATTGATGCATTTGTGGGGTTTTTAAAAATATTTAGGAATGGATCAGAGTGGGGCGGCGTGCAGTGGTCCCATCACACCTCCCTTTGATTCGTGCTCCACCCAAAGTTTAAAACCAAGTGGCAGGCCACAGTGTTTCTAGTCAGGCAGGGCCTAGGGAGTGACTTGAATTCCCAGCTGTTTTGTCTTTTAATTGTCCTACAAATTCAGTTATTGCATACCCAATAGCCCCATCTGTTATTGTGGGGGGGAGGTAACTTGTTCTGTGGGCACAAGGCCTGTGTTCCAGATATGTCAAATAGGCTTGAATTTATGGCTTATTGTAATCTAACTGCTCCTGTCTAAACTCTTCATCCCACAGGTGTTAACAACCCTCTGTTCTTTTAACGGTTTTGATGTTGCACCAATCAAGCTATCCCTTTGTTCTGCCATGCTGCTATCCCTTCCCTGCTTCTAGTTACAAAGATGCTATTTCACCGCCCAGCAGATGAGATTTTTTATAACTCATTCCAATGATGCGATATTTTGTTTTGACTCAGTCTTAAATTGCATAAACTTCCATTAAAAACAGAATAAACACTTACTAAAAATTAAACAAGAAGCTTTGCTAATGTGCCCCCAGCTTATTAGTAAAGCTTCTGGTTTATTTTGAAGTGGACAAAAATAGGTGTTGTTTTACATGTATGAGGCACCTCACCTTCTGCACCCCCCTTTTCAGAATTCTAGATCCACACATGGGTGGGATACTCAGATCTATGCTCCATGGCATAGTCAGACTGAATTCCATGGCCACCCCTTCATCCCTGAACATTCATGTTCTCTATTTCACCCCACACAAAACATGTTCACCTGAATCTTCTGTTTTTAGTTATAATAATAGTATTGCCCACAGTAGCAATGCCTGGGGCCCCTCAGTGGCTGAAACCATGTGCTTATTCCAGAATGTTGTTTTTCATTATTTTTTTTAAGTTACTTCTTACAGGTGCAAAGGCTGAAAGTATGATGGAGTATGCCTGGTGGATGTGACCTGTGTGAGAGACTGCCAACATCTTAACTTAAAGCAACATTCCAAGGTGCAAATTGCTGCATACATGACCAGGGGCAGATCTGGGGGGTCACGTGCAGTGGTGCAGTTCCCCTTTGATTTCTGCTGCACCCAAAGCAGCAGCATCTCTATTCAGGCAGCAATGACAGGGTCAATCGACTTCATGGCTCATTATAATCTACCCCCTTCCTTGTAGATTCTTCATTCCAGAGGTGTTTATGGGTTTATGGGCCCAAGTGGTGGATTTATGACCCACTCTCCTTTTTATGGTCTTAACGTTCTACTAATTAAGCTGTCCCTTCTGCTGCAATTCTGCTGTCTATTAGCTGCCCCTGGTAATCTAGCTCCTGTTTCACAGGCCTGAAGACTGTTTTTAACTCTAGCTAAAAGCAGTAACTCAGGTGTGCAAATAACTTTTAATGAGCCACCGGATTCATTGCCAATATGCTCAAGAAGGCTAGATTATGTTTTATGAATCTGAACCAGGGATACACATTTTATTCTAATGACCAAACGATTAATGGAACAACATATTTTTGATTATTTTTGCCTAGTTGGTTGTAGTTTTTATATGCAATATATGACACAGC